TTCCCACCCCGACCCACCCACGTCAGCCCTCTTGTGACACAACAATGAACGTCGTGACGAAGTCAACATGAATTTTCAAGTCTTTTCAATTCAATGGAAAATACCTGACGATTGGACTTTCTGTTACCTCCCTCTCACACATTGTCCTCAGTATTTTTCACTCCCCATTCTCCCTCTTTTATCCACAACTCGGGAGACACTTGAGCGTGTTGAAGTGGGCATATAGCAGACTGAGAGGAGTCGAAGGAGTTGAGGGAAAGGGAGGAGAGGAGGAGGATCACAGAGTAACCCAGAAACACGATTCCAAGATCCCCTCCCCGCCGCCCTCCCATTCACCAAAAGCCTCGAGTGGATATTAGATGCTCCAGAATCTCGGCATTGGTCTTGTGACACTCGGAGTTTCCCTCAGATCCACAATAATTCCAAGGGGTTGTTACGTAACGAATTTGCAATGGTACTTTGTACAGTGAGAATCAATTCATTTCGCTCGTCGGTGACAAATTGAATTTGATTGGGGACGCGCATTCATCTCGATTGTTCATCACGACGTTCAGGGTTTTGAGATAGCGTTTGAGGGATATCTCTGTCGTTGTTTTAGTCGGAAACGTTTGACACTCGACACCTGGAGATGTTTAATAAAAACAGATTCGGATTTCCCGGATTTCGTTTGACTGAATCCTCAAGTGCATCACTTGGGCGCATATTATCACTCGTCTAAGGCTATATTTTTAGTTTATCTTCAGTTCTGTGAGACACTAGTCTCTCTCATTTCACGTAGTTGAAAATTAATGTTAAATTGGAACAAATTATTTCTTCTTATTGTGCGATTTTGGTACACAAAGCTGTCAATAAATTTTGGAGTCGAGAGTTTAGCAATTTTTTAGTACAAAGTACCAGTTTCCAGTGGGAATTTGTACACTGACAATGAGAATCAATTCATCTGGTTGTGGTGATGAATTGAATTTGATTGGGGACGCGCATTCATCTCGATTCTTCAAAAACAGATTCGAATTTCCCGGATTTCGTTTGACTAAATCCTCAACTACATCATTTGTGCGCACATTATTATTTGTCTAAGACTATAATCATTAGTTTATCTTCCTCTCTCATTTGATGTTGTTGAAAATTAAAGTTGAGTCGAAATAAAATATTTCCTCATAGTGTGCCGTTTTGGTTGAGATTTTAGCAATTTTTTAGTGTCGTTTGTACACTGAGAATCAATTCATCTGGTTGCGATGACAAATTGAATTTGATTGGGTACGCGCATTCATCACGACGTTCAGGGTTTTTGAGACACGTTTGAGGGAAGTCCTTGTTTTACTCTGAAACGTTTAACACTCGACACCTGGAGATGTTTAATAAAACCAGAGACTCCGATTTCTCGGATTTGTTTGACTGAATCCTTGAATACATCACTCGTGCGCATATTATCACTTGTCTAACGCCACGTTTTTCACTTTATCTTCATTTCTTTGAGACACTAGCCTCTCTCATTTCGAATTGTTGAAAATTGTAGAATGAGAAACGATAAGAGGAAAGAGTTGAAACAAATTATTTCGATATAATGTGCAGTTTTAATACGTAAAACTGTTCGTGAGAGTCTGGGAAAAAAACCCAAAGTAGGAAGGTAAATAAATATTTGAAATTGAGAATTATCGGGGGGGGACTTACCTCATGTTGATGAGATACTGTGCCAACGCCACGGCGTCTGGATTTCCAGTTATTGTTATTGTACGATCTGTAGCGCCGCCCTCTCTCTCCTCGCAGTTGCTGATTCTTATCATTGCACCGGATATCTGGCGGATCTCGGCGATCTTGGTGCCACCCTTGCCGATTATACAGCCGATAAGTTCATTTGGCACTGTCATCTCGTGCGTCTGATTGTTAGCCGCTGGCTGCTGCCTGTTTGTGTGATTCGTGCGCAACTGACTTCCAGCTAGGGCTGCCAGGGCTATTTGTAGATAGTTTTTTTTTTCATAATTATCGCAGTGTTTTAACGAGAATTTCAAGTCCGAAGAGGCAATTGAGAATTTAGATTTGACTTTTGAAATTTACAAGTTCAGGTGGAACTGTTCAAGTCGATAAAATTGGCAAATGATGCGCTTTTTAAAATCAATTTTAACATTTCGCTGATTTCATCATTCAAATGTTAAGTGTTAACGAATTCTGAAATTTCATAATTTTTTTCAACGTAAATTCAATTGTGATATAAGTAAAAAAAAAAATCAAAACAAATAAAAAAAATAAATCAAAATTGTAAAAAAAATTCAAATAAAAAAAATGCACACAAAAAAAAATCGTGAAAGCAAAATTTTTAAATAATTTTTTTATGAGAAGAAAATGTAAAAAAAAATAATTTACAATTGCTGGGAAAATATCTACGAATTATTTCCAAGTACATCGCCAAAAAGCATCCCTTAAAATCCACTTGAACCGTTCAAACTGACGACAAAGTGGAAAATCAAGTGAATGAAAAGCTTTCGAACTTATAATTTAGAAATTTTACCAGCTGGGTTCAGACCTCCTGTGTTTGCAGGCGTAGCTAACCCTCCAAGCCCAAGTGCTGCAAGTCCAGCCAGTGGATTGCTCCCAAGTTTACCCATCTGTAACAACGATGAACATTCGCACGGTTCATAAACCCCGTAAACAGCCCCCAATTATCCAATTCATCAACTGCAAGGGATCAGAACAGGAGAACAACTGGCAATAAAACACCTATGCGTAAAAAATTAAAATAAAAAAACCACAATCCTTGCCTTGATTCTGGAATCGACTCTCCACTTAGAACGAAAAAAAAAAAATTATTCTCTCTCACTCTGTTTCAGTGTACATCACGAGTTTTTGAAAAGTATAAAAGAAAAAAATATTAAAAAATACTAGAGACCGGGGATTGCGAAATCACTGCTGCATGGATTTTTCTCGTCCCCGGGGGGTATGTGACTTTGCTAGAACGTATATCAAATATTTGCGGAAGTGAGAAAGAATCTAAAAATGCACAATTTTTCCCTTGATACTGAAACAAGTCGACGGTGAAATACGAAGTAGAAAGCTGATTTCACATTTTTATTTTTCCTTCGGTATTTATCTTGCAATTACTGCCATCTTTGCTCTAGCTCCGACCCTGGGAGGCGTTCATACGAGGGAGATGACCCCCATGAAGAAAGAAAATCATTATAGAATAAAAATCTCAGGAAAACTCCGCCGAAAAAAAAACAACTGACAGTTCACATTATTTTACGTTTTATGTTGCAACTTTTTGCTGCTAATGCAATTGCCGCTGGATTCTGCGGATTAATCAGCGAGATAGATTCTCCTTCTGTACATTTTTATTATGTTTAATTAGGTCAATTATTTTAGATGCAACAGGCGCAAAATTTTGGTGATTTTGTCGTGCATTCGTAAAACTTGACGCATTTAAAATAATTTGGAGGAGTTTTTTTGAGACATTTAATGGAAAACGTTTGGAAAAATGTTGTGAGTTGATAATAAAATAAAATAAATCATGATAATTAATGAACCGAGCGCTTTGTCATCCTGAACTCATCGATGTGCGTCAAAACTAATCTAATAAACCTACAAATTACATAAACTCTCTAAACGTGTAAACTCTCGCTGTAATCAACAAATTTTGTACATTATTAAATCTCTTAACTCCTTAAAAAAAACAACATGAACATTTTAAGGGCAGCCCACCCTCGCGCAAACTCTTTCATCTCTATCGATTGCCAAATATTATTTTTAAACGAGTAATTGTCTCTCATTCAGCAAAAGTGTATCGATTAAGCCATGCTGTTTCATCTAACAGAGCCGCTAAAGAGTTGTACTCAAATAATCTAAAATGCCTTGAGGGATGTTTGAAAATGACAAATAAAGAGTATGAAAAAAGAATGATTGTAAGGCGTTAATGGTGTAGTGTAGGGAAAGTTTCTTCATCCCAGAAGAAAATGAATTCATAACGCTAAAGAAGTACTTTAAAGTCGAGAAATAAAATTACAGAAGTTTCTTTTCCCCTGACATTTTTTTTGCAACGTAAAAATTTTCTCACCACGCGTTTGAGATTGTTAGAACGAATGAATAAAAAAAAAATATATATATAGAAACGATGAAGAAGTGTTAAGAGTGAATTTGAAATGAGACACCCAAGTGAGATACAGGTTAAATAAAAATTTTCATGAGGCGAATGAAGAAATAAATGTGACAAGAAGCGAATGGTTATCCTAAAATTCTTCATTCCCATGCAGTGTTCGACATGATTTCATCAATAATGGCACCAAACGACCTCGTCGTATTTTTCCCCCCCTCTCTCTACATGTTATTTTGTCAATAAAATTGCACTTCAGTAGCAGGAAATGCTGGGACTCTAGTAGTCTCTTATTTATTTATTTTTCCTTTTACACTTTTCATTCCTATTTCCACATGCACCCGACTTCCCATTGAATATCTATCTTTGCTCGCTACCTTCTAGCAAAAATAGCTGAATCAACACGAATGAAAAACAAAAGTAAATAAAAGGGAGAACAAAGAAACGCAATACGAGATATAGAAAAATATGGGAGAGAAAAGAAGAAAACATTGCTTTTGTTTTCATTCGTACCTCTGATAGAATAGTTTCTCTTTTCCAATTGTTTTTTTTCTTCATTTTTCAAAAATGTAAATGTTAAAAGGGCATTTTTGAAAGAGATCCCGGGGAGAAATAAAAGTGCTGTCGAAAATGAGAGAGAAAAAAATGAGAAATACTGTTCAATAGTATGTGGAATTGAATTCAAAAGGGTCGATAGAACTCGGCTGAATGTGTTTGCGTCAGCGTCTGCTCGAAAACAAGAGCCCCCTCCCTCCACTAATTAGCAAATAACTATTCAATTCGTTATATCAATGCTGCTATAATAGTAATGCTCCCTTTAAAATGAATTCAATTTAAAAAATTACGACAAAAAGGGGGGCAACGAGAGCAATAAAGAAAATTAAATGGGAGTAGAGCCCGTCCCGACGTGATAAAAATTGCATTCTAATGAGGAAGAATACGAGCGCATGCAGTGCAAAGCGTTTACAAATACAAAAAAAAAAGACGAGGAGCTGTAATAACAGTCGTACACAATCATGGTTAACGTGCATTGGGAAATAAAAATGGTGAAAAAAAAAAGAGAGAAACAATTCATCCGACAGTTACGTGACTCCTGAGTAGTGTCATATGCAATCAATTCTTTCTGGGGTCACGTGAGTGTCGGATGTGTGGATGCAGTGAAAAGAGTCACAGCCGAGTGAGTTTTCCATCTGGAGAATTGAAAATAAAGAGATGATGGTGATGCTGTATGAGGGAAAGCGACTTGATATCACAGAACGAATTTTTCAATTCTGAAAAAAAAAATTCCGGTAAATGTTGACGACTTCATCGTGAGGAGAAAATTATTCTTGTGATATTTGGTCGCTTCTCACATTGCAGACTTGAGGAAAGATGATGTATAATGAACCAACTAATCATCAATATCCGCTGACTCAATGACACAACTTGTACGAGTGAAATTAATTTTTTTTTTGTATTTTTCCAGAGCCTCATGAAGCTAAAGTAATGAGCGAGACGTCGCAAAATGACAATTAGATGAATGTTGTTTTCATTTTCTCCAACATTCCTTGATATTTTTAAAATATTTAAAAACAATTTAACAACAATATTTAACACTGCAGAAGAACCAGAATATAAAGTGAAATTTCATTTTGAAGACTGAAAAAATACCTTCAAAATAAAAAAAAATTGTTCGATTTCACTCGGTCATCAATCTCGAGTAATTGATGATTGAAAACAGTTCATTTAACATTCTAGATGAAATTAATTAAGTTGAATATTTCCAGAGGGAGAGCTCAGTGGCGTTGGGGGGGGAGTCAAGCAAGCCGGGGGTTTCTGAGCATTTCGGCAGTTTCTTTTTCACAGTTGAGGGGGTTTCTGGGGTGGGGCGAATGGTAGAGATCATCGTGAATTGCGGTTTCATCAGAACAGAAGGGGTTGGGGGGGGGGGGGGG